CACACACACACGCATCAACAAAGACAGACAAATGCTTTCTTCTGTCTATCCATTTCCTCCTGGCTCTTCAAGGACGGTTTGATGACGCTGGAGCTCGATGGGTTGATGGTGACTTCTTTGGCGATTCTGTCCACGACTAGCTGAATGCCCTCAATGACGTTGTAGAACTGGGCGGAGTCACACTCCATATAAGGCAATCCCCGGCTGTCCGCGTACTTTCGGGCGGCTTGAGATGTGACGGTCCGCTCTGTGGGGATGAGATGAGAGGAGATGAGAGGGGATGAGAGAGGATGAGAGAAGAGGAGAGGATATAGAAGGAGATAAGGTGAGGTGAGAGGAGAGGAGATGAGATGAGATGAGGTATGTGAGGTAAGATAAGGTAAGGTAAGGTAAGGTAAGGTAAGGTAAGGTAAGGTAAGGTAAGGTAAGGTAAGGTAAGGTAAGGTAGGGTAAGGTAAGGTAAAAACAGATAAGATAACATAAGACAAGATAAAGAGTGATTAGATCAGACAAGGTAAACAAATTAAGACATGGGAGGATGCGCTACGATCAGTTCAGACAATATGAGATAAGATGCAATAACAATGATAATATGATCAGATCTGACAAGACAAAATAAGACAGGGGACGATAGGATACGATCAGACAATATAAAATAAGATGAGATAAGATAATTATGATAAAATGAGGTACAATAAGATATGATTAGACCTGAGATGACAAATAAGATAAAAGATAAGACCTAGAGACACAGACAAGCACACAAACTGATATATAAACATATAGACAGACACAGACAAACAAACAGACAAACTGATATATAAACATACAGACAGACAGACACCAACAGACACGAACACACAAACAGACAAACTGACATATAAACATACAGACAGTCACAGAGAAACAGACAAACTGATATATAAACATACAGACAGACAAACAGACACAAACAAACAAACAGACAAACTGATATATAAAGATACAGATAGACAAACAGACACAAAACAAACAAACAGACAAACTGACATATAAACATACAGACAGACAAACAGACACAAACAAACAAACAGACAAACTGATATATAGAGATACAGACAGACAGACACCAACAGACACGAACACACAAACAGACAAACTGACATATAAACATACAGACAGACAGACACAAAAACAAACAGACAAACGCACAAACAGACAAACTGACATATAAATATACAGACAGACAGACACAAAAACAAACAGACAAACGCACAAACAGACCGACTGACCTGGAGAAGCACAGTGGTTCCCCAACAAGACACGAGAGCACCCAGAGGCCATGGTGAAGGAGTCTAAGTCTGAAAGCCTGAAAAGGAAAGAAAAATGTAATGATTTTACGCACTCCTTGACTCA